AGGTCACAGTTACTGATACAAAGTGACACCAAGGGCTTCTTCAGGCACCTAGGTAGAGAACAAATGATTGTTGTTTGGAAAATGTTGTTGATGAGGGTTGATATAATTGGCAGCTATGCATATGACACTTCTCCCAAACTCATCCTGACTATATATTGAGGTCAACCCCAGGACATGGCCTTCTGTTGTCTGTTCACACAACTCACAGCCTTTTAGTCTGAGGTCTGTAGATATCACCATAGGCATGATTCAGGAAATGCCTGGAAACCACAGCAATTGATATATCAGGCCAACATGGTGAATGTAGGAAGGACTACCTGACTCAAAAAAAAAAATTTAACAAGTACAAGTGCCATTTTTAAGAGCTTTCACAGGTTTTGTTCCTCCAAAGTCCATGATCCTGTCTTCACCTTGAAACACAGTCAGTGTTGCATATTTCTAATATGCTTAACCTGTTTCTGGATGCAAAACCTTTCACACGTCAGCAATAAGAGGCATGCTTATGCCTGGTCATATATATCTTAGCACAAAACACATCTGCTCAGATATGCTATGACTCTAATAGTGCTATGTTTATGGTGGCCAGACTACCAAGGATTCCCTAGCTTAAAAACAAAACAAACAAACAAACAAACAAAAAACAAAACAAAACAAGAAAAAAAAACAAGAAAAGAAAAATGAAATGTTTCTCTGGTCTACTGGACTCTCTCAGTCCTTCCTTACCTGAGGCATTCTTTCAGGTTGCCTTTTACAAAAGAGACATCATTTACATAGAGTTTCTGGAGACAGTGGAGTGTGGGAAGTAGAGACATCAATCTGAGTATTTTCTCCTCCTCAGCTTTTTCAGAATCTCCCATACTGAAGGTACCTGTGATGTGATCTAGAGTGAGTATGAAAAGACTTTTCATCTGACTCACGTAAGGAATAAGAAAGGCCAAATCTTCTATGCAGATACAACTTAGGTCAAGCTCCTGTATACAGCCAGCATGTACAATTTTGAAGATTTCTATGAATGTGTATTTGGTCAAGCCCTGGATCTTTAGATTTCTACAGCATAGATGAATGGAATCTTTTCTCTGCTGTGCCCAATGCAACAAGAATGTGGCACATTCATTATGTCTGCCCTCCATGAGATGGAATTCAGTCATCACTTTCAATTTTTTCTTCACCTCACAGTCAGTACAGTTTTCCATTGGCTGCTTCTCTGTCATGAACTCTGGCAAGCCTTCACCTTCATGGGATCCAGCCCATATCCCCCACAAGTCATATTCTTTATCAGTGCAATTGAGAACTCTGAGTTTGCACCTTCTGTGGGAGAAAAGAATGTAATTCTTAGAAGATAAAAGAGACACATCTTACACTCTGATTATCTTCACATCTCACACTTCAGCTCTTTATTTCAAAACTTTGAATTTTCCTGTGGCTAGAATTAAACCCAAGTGTCACATGCTCAGTAAATTCATAGCATTCTCGTCAAGAAAGGCATATTTAGCCTTGTACCTTTTAGGGATGCTTGAATGACCCATTCTTTACTATGTCTATTCTTTTCTGTCTTCTACATTAGCCATTATTTTCTGTGATGGCTGAGACTGAGCTGAAGCCTCTACACTCCTCTAAGCCTCTACACCCAGTGAAGAACAGTCCTGAATGTGGGGTGAAGACAAAATTGAAGATCAGAAGCCTCTGATCAATGGTTGGCCAAGTATTCTCTGTCCCTAGTTGCTCCATCTCAGCATTCAATGCACATTCCTCCAAAACCAGTTGATCTTGCCTACCTGGTTCGAATCTTCTGTGCAAGCAGTATATCTAGTCCATCAAGCATTGCCTTCAGAGTCTCCAAGGTGCAATTATTTATCAGCATTCCTAAAGAAAGGCATGGGAAGGGCCACACAGGTATCATGGCCTTCAAGATCTTTGTATGTCCATGAGTCAAGGCTTCTTCAAACATTACTGGAAACAGCCCAACAGGCAGGCCCTTGAGAGTAGAAATGGCCAAGGCCTCTTCCCTCAGTATCGTCTGACTTGCCAGCTTCTGGAGGGTGGGTGGGGAATAGACTTTCATTGTGACTTTTTCTAAAGAGTCATTCTAGGGAAGCAGATAAAAAATATACCATTAATGACAAGTAACTGAGGAGGCTTCTTCCCACACAGAGAAGTGTAAGGGCTAGATTACTACTGATCAGGATAGAGAATTCAGGTTACCAATTTGATCACCCTCTTTTCTTTGTTTTAATATTTGTTTTTAGATACGGGGTCTTTAAAGAACCACCAGCCTGTGAGCACTTAGGGAGGGATTCATGGCTTCAGTTGTATATGCAAGGATGGACAGCCATGCTGCGCATAGGTGGGAGAAGAGATCCTTGGTCTCATGAAGGCTGGACACCCCAGGAGGTGGGAATTTGAGGGTGGGGAGATGGGAATGGGGAGTAGGTAAGGGTACATTTTCAGAGAATCAGGAGCAGGGGTGAGGGGATAGAGGGTTCCTGAGTGGGTGGGGGATGGGGTAAGGGGATAACATATGCAATGTAAATAAAACATCCAATAAAAAAAATTAAAAAAAAAGAACTACCTGTATTTCGGTCTGTACTGCAACTTGCTTTATATACCACATTGGTCTGTACCTTGATGAGATTTGCCTGCCTGTGCCTCCAAATCGCAAAGGTTACATGTGTGTTCCACCACTGCTTAGCCTGTGCCACCATAGCAAGTCTAATCTAGAACTGTTTGTTTTGGCCTTTGTTGGTTTTAAAGCAACAATCCTCTCTGGTGGTGATAAGCTTCCCCAAAGTATCCTAGTTCCCAAAGATCACATCCAATTGCAGCCACAGCTGGGGTGAATACATCCCACTGAGTAAAGGTCACCAGAAAGTTTGATGCCCAAGTCAGTTGTTTGATGAGGAATAGACTGTGCTTAGCTTTCCAGGCCCTCAAAGAAAGCAAAGAAAATCAATTTCCAACGTTTTCACAATCTCTATTCATCCAGCTACACTGCATGGAATCATTCATGGTATCTTTGAAATTCCCATCATTTGTTATTGATATTAGTCTTTGATTATAACCCATACTGGCCTTTTGGATAAGGTGTTAGGAAGGTTCCAAGCTTGAGCTCTGCAACCTACAGCACTAAATAATGGGGGAAAGAAACACTAAAGTCAGTAAACCTTGAGTAGCCATTGTAACTCTCCAATAAGCATCCAGAAAGAAGAGACTATGAGGTGGAGATTATAATTCAGAAGGTGAATGCAGGAGGCACACTATCTCAACATCATAACTGGTTACTTCTACAGCACCAGACCAGCTTCCCTGAGACCTGCAAAAACTAATGGAAGACCACAAAAACGTAAGGAATGCAGTGGAAATTTTAATTTTAAGTGATACTCAGATATTTGATTAGAACACTTAATAAAAAGAGGCAGGTTTCTTCCTGAAATTTTGAACACATCCTTAGTGAAAGGAGGAGACCATGTATCAATCAGCACATGGAAATACTAGGTTTGTTTGTTTCTTTTGTTTTACTTCTTTGAGACATGATATTATCCATGGCTGCTTTGAAACTTGCTATATAAATTAGGCTGGTATCAAAGTTAGACTCAATGTAACCTCTGCCTTCCTTTTGCAGTCAAGTTTGGATATGAGAGGAGAGGAGTGAGGGAGACTGATATTCAGATATAAAGTCTATTAAATACACAACAGAGAGACACACAGACATACACACATATATGTGTGTGTACATATACATAAACGATACATACACAAGCATATTTGTGTGTGTGTATATATATACATATATATACATATATATGTATATATGTGTGTGTATATATGTGTACGTGTACATATACATACATACATATGCAGGTTTCTTCTTGTAAGTTTGAAGACATACTGAGTTCCATGAAAATGAGAGACTATGTATCAGTGAGCAGATGCAAATACCATTTGTTTTTTTGGTATTTTGTGTTTGCTTGCTTGTTTTGCCTTTTTTTATTTAGTTATGCTTCTATTTATTTAATAAATATGAATATACTCTTGCTGTCTTCAGACACAACATCAGATCACAATTACAGATACTTGTGAGGCACCATGTGGTTTCTGGGAATGAAACACAGTTCCTCTGGAAGAGCACTGGAAGAGTTCTTACCACTGTGCCATTTCTCCAGCCCCTTGTTTTGCCTTTTTTAAAGACACGCATAATGTCCAGCTACTTTGACACTGACAGCCTCCCTCTGCCTCCCTGTTGCTGAGATTAAAAGCACACCAAAGAATGCCAGGCTTAAAGTGACATAAAGATCAGTAGTGAGGGAACTTGAGTAACTCATATCTGACATTCCAGCCTGGAGTGTCTTCAATTTAAGGTCACCCTGACATTCTTAGTGAGACTTTCTCAAAAGACAAAACCAAGTTGATATAAAACAAAATATCCCACAGAAATCAGAATGACCCAATTCATAATTGCATGTAATTGAGAACACACTTGGATATTTGGTTAAGCAGCTCTCAGGTGGCTTAGATTAGAGAATCTTGGTGAGTTTATGGCTGGGCAATCTCTCTCTCTTTTTTTAAATTTACATTTGAGCCATTGCCCTCTCCCACAATTTCTCATCAAATTCCTCCTCCCCCTTCCCTCCAAGACGGAGGTCCCCTTTCCTAGGGGTTCAAATCTCTTTAGGATTAGACACATCTCCCATTGAAGCCAGGCCAGGCAGTCTTTTGCTATATATGTGCCTGGGGTTTGGACCAGTCTGTATATGCTGCCTGGTAGGATAGCTCACACTCTTCTTCCCCTAATTCAACCATAGTAGAATCTTGAATGGTCAAAAAATACTTAAAGAAATATTCAAAGTCCTTGGTCATCAGGTAAATGCAAACCAAAATGACCTTGAGATTGCAACTTACAACAATCAGAATGATTAAGATAAAAAACTCAGGTGACTGCACATGCTGGTGACGATGTGGAGAAAGAGGAACATTCCTCCATTTCTGGTAGGGTTGAAACTGGTGCAACCATTCTGGAAATCAATCTGCTGGTTCCTCAGAAAATTGGAAACATTTCTACCTGACAAGCCAGTTATACCACTCCTGTCCATATACTTAAAACATGCCCCACCATAGCATGAGGATAGATGTTTTGCTATGTTCATAGCAGCCTAATCTGTAATATTTAGAAGCTGAAAACCATCCAGATAGCCCTCACCCAAAGAATTCTTACAGAAAATGTGGTTCATTTACACAACAGAATACTATTCAGCTGTTAAAACCATGAATTTTGCAGGCAAATGGATGGAACTAGAAAATGTCAACCCAAGAGAGGTAACTCAGACTCAATATCACCGGCATGGTATGTACTAACTGGTAAGTGGATATTAGTCAAAAAGTACAGAATATCTAGGACGTAGGCCAGACAATCTTATGTAGAGAGAACTCATCTCAAAAAAGAATAACCAGCAAGTAATACATTATATAAACAAACTTTCAGGTGAGGACAAGCCTAGAGTAGGTTGCATGAAATGATGTATCCTTATGGAAATGAGGGACTTACTTGATCTGGACACTGGGGACAAATCACCATATTCATGCATGGAAAACTCCAGGCTCTAAGAAACATCGAGTTTTCTCCTTGCTCTGACTCTTTATATAGCTTTCAGCTGAACTCTTTGTCGCCACACTCTCCCAGCCAAAGTTAGCTTCTGATTCAATACTTGAGTCTCTGCTCACTTGCCCATGTTCAGATTTGAATGGTGTAGGTAAATTGGATAGGATCTGTACACAGAAAGACTTTTAGACCAGACCCATAGTCAAGAACTGATTTATTGAAGCCAAGAAATTGAGCCTCATGCTTTATAATCACAGCACTTGTAAAGCAGAGTTCAGTGAATCTGAGTTCCAGACTCTGGTGGTTTGTATATGCAAGGCCCAGGGAGCTGCACTGTTGGGAGGTGTGGCCCTGTTGGGGTAAGTGTGGCATTGTGCCTTTGGGCTTTAATCCCTTGTTCTGGCTGCCTGGGAGACCCTATACTGCTAGCAGCCTCTGGAATTCAAGGCTCTGTCAGTCATCAGCTGTGGCAACTTGAGAGGCTGAGTTGTGAGCTTGACAAACAGATCAGTTCAATGTCATATTCAGCTTCAGAGTAAGCTTGAGGGCAGCCTGAGCTAATGGACATCATTTCTTGTAATCTTATGTACATCCAAACCAAAATAAAGAAAGGTAGTTTCCAGGAAAAAGCTGTCCTTAGTTTCCCAGAAGGTAAGGGTGTCAGAGAAAGAATCATAAAGTGTGTAGTGTTTTTGCTATATTTTGGAGGACTGTGTGGTTCCAGACACCTCTCACCTCTTCCGTTCTCTCTAGGTCCCTCTCTCTCTCTCTCTCTCTCTCTCTCTCTCTCTCTCTCTCTCTCTCTCTCTCTGTGTGTGTGTGTGTGTGTGTGTGTGCGTGTTTATTTGTCTCTGTCTGTCTCTCCACACCACCCCTGCTGTGCTTAAATTAAAGGCAAATGTGAGCTGGCATGTGGGTGCTGTCGTGAAACAAAACAACAAAAGAAATAATCAAATTGTATTGGAATGCTAAGAAACTTGTGTCTAAGACAAGAAATTGAATTTTTTTATCTGTCCAAATTTTCAAAACTTTTGCACAAATATGACACACACACACACACACACACAAACACACACACAAACAGAGAGAGGCAGAGAGACAAGGAAAGACAGAGATAGAGGGACAGAGACACATACAGAGACAGAGAGAGACAAAAGTGAGAGGACAAGGGAGGGAGGGAGGGAGGGGGGGAGGGGGGGAGGGAGGGAGGGAGGAAAAGAGAGAGAGGAAAAGAGAAAGAGAGAGAGAGAGAGGGAGAGAGGGGGAGAGAGAAAGAGAGAGGGAGAGAGAGATGGAGAGAGAGAGGGAGAGGGAGAGAGAGAGAGAGGAGCCTTTGTTTACAGAAAAGAACTCTGTCTTGTTTCAGGAATTTAATGGCATGGAGCAGGGACTCCCTGCCCCTCACCCACATGCATGTGTCAATTCTTTGCCAATTAGGCAGTCAAACAGGACTGTGAGTTCTGACTCTATCTAATACAGAAAATCACTGAGTTGTAATAAAGTCCAAGCCCACTTTTTGTCTGCTTTTGTTTCATCTCCCTTGTGTGTTCTCTTAAGAAAGTAAAAGTTGTGTGTCCAGGTACTGCACATGGCATGAGAGTCTCTTTCTTTGTGACCATGAACTCATTTCTAACAGCTGGAAATGTATTTCAGGCTTCATCTCTAATATCATTTAATCTGTGGGCTTATTGTTTTTGTCAGGGTCCAACTCCCTCTGCAGCTGGAGGGCTGGGGTTATAGGCATTCAACACTGTGCCCACCTACAGGTTCAAGTTCTATGGAAATAGCATTTATATGGTCGTCCTGAATGAATTCTCCTACTACACCACCAAGCAAAGGCAGGTGATTCTGGAGAAGTACTCTGCCGACTTGACGTTGCAATGATGACTTGTGTGAAGGCTTTCTAGAACAGGTTCCTTGCATTTTCCTGAATTCCAGGATATATTAAAGACTCTAGAGCATGCCAGAAGGTAAATGCTGTCTCCATCTTACTTGACTGTTCAGAGAACTCAGTCTATACCTTGGGATAAAACACTGCTTTTAAGCCCAACATGACAGATTCATGGACAAAAATACTTATGTCTATTTATAATGTCAGAATGTGTATGTTTATTCCAGTCTTAATATAACCTCCCATATCACACAGCACACATGTGAAGGGCCATGAGGAAAACACCACTCACCTGTTACCTGACTCTTCCGTGAATGTTACTTTGGAATCTGCTGTTCCAGGTTTAACTTTAAGGGAAATACTGTTTCATCAATCTTAAGGGCCCCCAAGTTATATGCATCCATCTTCAAGGAAAAGAGAGACAGTTATCTCCACAGAGATGAAGCCTTAGGTTAATCTTCTCTTACTGGGAGTAAGGGCACACTGTTGAGGGAGCAGGGAGCACAGAGCTGGGACTGGGATATCAGGAGCACTGACCTGAAGTATCAGGAGCACAGAGTTATGCTTCAGACCACCCCCTGGAAGACAAAGAAACAAATGCTTATCACTAGACTGAGCATCTGAATGATGCCCATTGGCCTTGCTGTTGGATACTTACTTCAGATTCTGAGCACCTTTGATGCCTGAAAAGCTTAAATGCCTCCATCTCCAGCTCAGCTATGGGGGAAAGGGGTGAACTCTCATTCCTGTGCAAGGCTGTAGTGTTTTTTTTTACTTCATTTTAAAAATTCATCCAATGCTTATTTTCTTTTTTAAATTAACTTATATGATTACATGGTTGTGTTTGTGTGTAGGTATGTGTAGGCACTCACAGAAACCAGAAAGGGCATCAGAGTCCCTGGAACTGGATTTAAAGGTGACTGTGAGCTGCATTATACGGGTACTAGAACTCCAATTCAGGCCCTGTACAAGTACAGCAAGAACTCTTAACCTATAAGCTATCTCTCTAGTCCAAACTTTTTTTTTGAGTTTGTTTCACTGGGTATCTCTGGCTCTCCCAGAACTGATTTTGTAGACCAGGGAGGCCTAGAACTCTCAGATATCTGCCTGCCTCTGTCTCCTAACACCTGAGCTTAAAACAGGTTGTCTGTGTTCTCAAGAACCCCTTCCCAATACATTTCACCTAGTGATGTTGGTCTCTTCTTAATCACCACCAGTTTCTCAGTTGCAGCTGACCAGTATTAATTATACCAGCAAAGCAAATTTTCCCTTTAGTGATTGTGGTATGTAGTTAAGCACTGGTGATTCTTCAGCTCCAGCTAACCACGACCAGAGTATCCCAATTCAAAGTAGGAAATAGCCCTGATGGAGTCATTAAATTTCTCTCTAAAATTACACAGGCCTGAGAATTTGAACATTCTCATCGTCTTTCAAGATCTTCAAGAACTTCCCACTGAGCTCTCAACATTCAATGACTTTTCTTTCCCAATGTGCCAAACTCAATACAACCCCAAACATGCTCAGGCCTATCTCAGCAATACCCTACTATTCTGGTACCAACTTGTCTTAGTTAGGGGTTCTATTGCTGTGAGAAAACTCCATGAACAAAAAGGAATGAGAACTCTGTCACTTTCCCATGTATCACCAATTAATTGATTCTAGTTAGTAACCAGACTTCTGCTACTCAGAGCACATTGCAAGTGGTTGTAAAACCAGTAATCAACAGTCTTCAAAAGGGAACTAGTGATTGACAATAGGTGCTAGGACATAAGATAAAATATTGACTTGATCTATCTATACAAAATTTCATAAATAAGTTTGTTGTGGTTTGTAAATCTCAATGAGTCTGTGGAGCTGTGATAGGTGATTAATGTTTAGCTAGATTATTATTCCTAATTGATATAACATTCTCTGTCATAAACTTCTTACTAGATTTATTATTTGAGTGTGTGTAAA